GTTTTCCAGCTGAATGCGCACGGCCAGTAGCTCCAGAGGCTCTGGGGGAGAACAGGGCTGGGATGGGGGCTCCAGGCCCGAGTGAAGGAACTGAGGGGTCCAGGATCCCTTAGCTGCCGAGAACCCCAAACTCCCAGCTTCCTCAGAACTAGAGCGCTCCTATCTCCACTGAGGGATGGGGAAGCAACCCTCCCCTAAGATGGGGTCCACCATCTGATGCCAAGCCCAGGTTGAACCTCACATACCCTAACCTCAGCCCAAACCAGACCACACCAGCCTAACCGGACCGTCTCCCCGCACTGGCCCTGATGTTAGCTCCCTGCCTTACCCTGGACAGTCACCCTGGCTGCCCGGCTCTTCCGCTGTCCCGCGTTGTTGGTGGCCACACACATATAAGTCCCCGAGTCACTCTTCTCTGCTCTTAGCATCCGCAAGGAGCCACTGGACACCTGTCAGGACAGGCACATGCGCAGGCTCCCGTGAGGGGAGGGGCTCTGACAGGGGAGGCAAGCTGAGGGCCTTGCGGCCTTCCTCTCCTCAAATTCTGGGGGGGGCACTCAGAAGGCGGGTCAGTCCCCAGGGCGGGCCCTGCAGGGGGCACTCAGAAGGTGGATCAGTCCCCAGGCGGGCCCTGTAGTGGGCACTCAGAAGGCGGGTCAGTCCCCAGGGCATGCCCTGTAGTGGGCACTCAGAAGGTGGGTCAGTCAGTCCCCAGGGCGTGCCCTGTAGTGGGCACTCAGAAGGCGGGTCAGTCCCCAGGGCGGGCCCTGTAGTGGGCACTCAGAAGGTGGGTCAGTCCCTAGGGAATGCCCTATAGTGCCGGGACAGGAGGAGGCATGGGGAAGGGAGCTATACTCACCCTGTGCCGCCCCGGCTGGAGGGCCAGGGGTTTCTCATCCTTCCACCACAAGACCGTGGGTTCTGGGTAGCCCCAGGGTGGCCAGCACTCCAGGATCACCTGCTCGCCCACCGTGGCCACTGTGTCCTGGGGCTGGACCCGGAAATCCTCCTGAAGGACTGTGGGGAGGAAGGAGGCTCTGGGGGGAGCAGTGCCAGGTCCTCCCGTCCCCAAAGCCCCCCCTTGGTGTCTCCTGCCACACCTGCCCCATTCTATTTTTTCACGACTGTGCCCACTCTTCAGAGACCCACCTCCTAAGAGTTCCATGTAGGTTCACCCCCAACTCAGCTCTCTCATCCCGGTTCCCAGTCTGATATCCCTTCCCACCTCCCTCTGACGCCAATCCTAGGTTGAACCTCACATACTGTAACCTCAGCCAATACCAGTCCACACCAGCCTAACTGGAGCCTCCCCCTCACCCCCCAAAACACACACACACACACACACACACACACACACACACTCCAAAGACATGCGATTCTCTTCAACAAACAGCTCAGCCCAGAAATGACCCCGCCTCCAGCAGGAGCTGAACTTCATATTCCTTAGGTGGTGGAGGGACACCACATCCTCTCTTCTTTGTAGCAATTCCTGGGTCTAACACAGGGAACAGGTTCAGATAATACAGCCCTCCTCCCCCTCCCTCGACCCAACTGGATTCATAACTGCAGCCTCCCCTCCTTCCGTGACCCTCCCTCCCTTCCTCCCACCTCCTCTGTCTGGGATGGGGGCCTGGTGTGGGAGGCCACACACACACACACACACACACACACATTGATCCTCACAGATACCCCTTCAAACCTCCCTCAGCACAGGCATTATCACCCCAGGTGTGCCCACTCCGGCTCCCCTCCCAGGCCTCACCAGCCGCAGACAGCCGCGCGCCGCGGCTCACCGCTGTGCCCAGCCGGTTGCTGGCCTCACATGTGTAGATGCCCAGGTCCGTGGACAGGGCCTGGTTGTTGCGGGCGTGAGCCTGGGTGGAGGGCCAGTGCAGCAGCAGGGTTCCATCAGGCAGGAGCTGGTGTGTGTCTGGGGGCTCCATGCTCAGGGGCTGCCCATTCAGCAGCCAGTGGATGGTGGGAGGGGGCTGGCCCGAGGCTTGGCAGCTCATCTGGACGGGCTCGGGGCCCTGGAGCAGCTGGTCCTGTGGGTGGACTAGGATCTGGGGTGGGGAGTCCTGAGCCGTGCCTCCTGGAAGGGAAAGGGAGGCGGAGCCCAGTCTGACTACCGTCAGGTGCCCAGATCCCTGCACTCCTCACCTGCCTTCTCTCCTCTGAGGATCAATTCAAAGGAAGGAGACCTTTCGAACTCTCAATCTGTCAGTCTCTCTCTCTCTCTCTCTCTCTTTCTCTCTCTCTCTCTCTCTCTCTCTCACACACACACACACACACACACACACACCATCATCATCATCAACAACATCATCATCATCTCTTGCAAAGGAGCAAGGGGGCCTCTTCTTCCCTGGCCAGGCCCTGGATCGAGGGAGCCTGAGCTAGGAGAGGGGGTACCTACACTCACCCATGAACAGAAGCAGGAGAGGCAGGGGCCACCAGACCCCAGGGAGACCCGCTCCTCCAGAGCCCATGGCTGCTCTCAGGTCTCTGTCCTGGGCCCAAGCACTTTGTCTTGCGGCTCTGAGCTCACAGGGAGGGGAGGGGCGGGCAGGCCGTTGGTGGTTGTTTGTGGCCGAGACTGCCCCAGAGGGAAGCAGCTCTGAGGAAACCGATGCTTCCTGCCTGGCCCTCGGTGCCTTGAAGAACTGGGAGGAGCCCAGAGGAGAGAAACTCCCTGGCTCCCAACCCCAGCCCTGAGGTTTACCTTGTGATCTAGTCTGGGATTTCTTTTAATTTTATTTTTTAAAATATATTTTTATTGATTTTGGAGAGGAGAAAGAAGGGGAGAGAGAGAGAGAGAGAGATAGAAACATCAATGATGACAGAGAATCATTGATCGGCTGCCTCCTGCATGCTCCCTACTGGGGATCAAGCCTGCAACCGAGGTACATGTCCTTGTCCGGAATCGAACCCGAGACCTTTGTGCCTCATCCCTGGAGATCACCTCCATTCCATTCCATTCCATTCCATTCCATTCCATTCCATTCCATTCCCTCTATTCCCAGACTCCGGAGGACCAAGTGCTAAGAACCAATGGGAATAGAAGGGGCCAATTACTCCGAGCTGTTCCTATACTGAGCCAAATCGGCCAGGGCTAGTCTGGGATTTCTTAAAGGCAATCCTCACACTATCCATAACTCTAACCACAGCGTTGACCCTTTAACCCTAAGCCTGTATTTAATGAGTCCCCATCCTTATTCCTTTGCTTCCAAGTGACCCTTGCTAGAGTGGACCGGAATGCCAGAGGAAACTAAGTCAAGTGGAGAGGTCACTCCTCGGTCCGTTCCTCAAGGATTGATGGAGCAGGGGGCTGGGTGGGACCAAAGACAGGAAAGCTTCAGAGGCCCTGGGACAAGCTGGAGATGCCCACCGCGTGTTCCTATTCAGCTCAGAGACAGATGAAATAAGCTGGGAGACCGTGGGCACGTTCCTTAACCTCTGCATGTCACTCATCTGTAAGTGGGGAGAATAACAGAAGTGCGTACCTTGGGGGATGGAGCAAGAATGCGATGAGATAAAACATAAATCACTTAGTCCGGTAACCTAACGCATTATACGTGCTCAGTAAGTTTAACCAATACTGTTATTTTTATGCACACCCCATCACGGGAACTATTCAAGCATCCTCGGCTGGGATACTTCAGGCCCTGGGATGGTGGCTTGCGTCTGATATTTAAGAGTCTTTCCAGCCTTGAAACCTTGTGTCTGCTGCCAACAGACCTGTAGGTTCTGAGCCTGCTGCTCCCCACCCGCCTCCCTGGAGAGAGGCTGCATTCCCCTCTCAGAGCCCACCTCCTGTTTACAGGTTTCTTCCTTCCAAATCTGGAATGTCAGCCATTTCCTGGAGCTGTTCCCTACTGGCCAAGGCCGCCAAGGCCGCCAAGGCCGCCAAGGCCGGGCTCTGGGGGCTCAACGGAAGACTGTCCAGCCTTTGTTTCCAGTAGTTCCTGGCCGGCTTCTCCGTGAGGCCCCTAACCCAGCTGACTCCCTCGCTTCCTCCCCTTCCCATCCTGGCGTTGTACCAGCCACAGCCACAGCCCTAACAGCCTGTGAAGAGGAGTGAAGGCCCGGCTGGTGGCTGGCATGGCTCAGTGGTGGAGCATCAACCTATGAACCCGGAGGTCACTGTCTGATTCCCAGTCAGGGCACAAGCTCGATTCCCAGTGTGGGGTGTGTAGGAGGCAGCTGATTGATTCTCTCTCATCATTGATGTTTCTCTCTCTCCCTCTCCCTCTCCCTCCAGCTCTGAAATCAATAACAAAATAAAGAGGAGGGAAGGCCTCTTTCGCAACTCCTCTTCCCCTTCAAATGCAGACCAAGACTGATTGAGACAATTAGAACAAGAGAACACAGTGGTTTTTACAACCTGAGAGCTTCCAAGGGGTGGAGAATAGACAATGAAAGTCATTGAGTGACAGAGCTGCAAGGATAGGGACTGGGACCAGAGGAGAGCTTGGTATTTCAGAACTGGAG